TCCATACACGATGCCAATTACAATCGATCTCAATCGGTACCGAAACCGTTAGTTTCAAGTCGGTTATCTTCATCCATCCTTACGGATTCAACGAGCTCTTCAAATTCGTATTTTAATTTCGATAGCGCTGACGGTGGTGTCTGCAATACAAAGCCCTTACTAGCAAGAACTGAAGAATTAAATGAAGATGAAAGCGAATTTTATAGAGATAATTTAGCTGTTACTGATTCTGCTGTTAGTACTGTTGCTACTGCTACAACAACTACAACTACTACGACTGCAACTACTGCGACTGCAACTACAACAACTACAACTACTACGACTGCAACTACTTCTAGTACAGATATCGCTAGTACTACTACGATCGTTACTACCCTAAAACATGGTTTTGTAGTCGGCGATGGTAATAAAAACCCGAACGAATTCGATGTGGTTATGTTTGACGCTAAGGATTCACCAATAGGTTTCTTCTTCTTTTTAATTGTATTCATAACGTTTTACATGATTTAATGTAATTTAATCTTTAAACAATTAAAATAATGATTAAATATTTAAAATTCAGGAAGTAGAATTTACAAATTGTTCAGTAAGTAACAAAAAAAATTATTTTTGGTTAACAGATGCCGACAAAATGTACGCCCAGTTGTTTGATAACGAAAACAACTTATTATCGCAAGTATTTCAGACAAATAAAACTGACTGTGACGCTCCTACTTCGAGTTTCTTGACAAAAATGGAAAGCCACGATCCAAATGAAACGATTTCTGTTGAAGATAAAATTGAAAAAGTGGATTTTGCTATTAATTTATCTAAACAAAGTTTACCAACATTTGAAAAATTCTCCGATTCAAAATGTGAAAATGAAGAAAACTATTTATCCGAGGGAAGAGAATCAATCCTCAAATCGATAATGTCCCCGTCAACATTCAAACAATTGCTAGAAGGCGTTCGGGATATTATATCTCCGACGAAAGATCCTGATTGGACATTTGATCCGACCAACAACGCCAACGATCCGTGCACAGAGAACGAGCAGATCAGCACATCAAACACCATGGAGATGTTAAACAACAAATGCATAATCGTACCGGATAGCGACGATACCTTTTGCAAAATGGATACTTTAGAATCGGCTTTCATCGGTTTTAACAATCAGCTGGCTTACTTAACAAAGGCTGATTCGCAGCCGGTTCTAGCGTCGTTTGAATCGAAATTATCCGATAAAATACTTCAATACAAAAATATCATCAAAATGCCAGCAGGAAGTGATGTACAAGCGGGTAAAATTAAATCTAAATTGAAATACCCTTTGAAAACTGTAAAATCTGTACCGGCATTTGTGAATCCTTCTTTCATGTTTGATAGAGGGCTATCGAATGAAACCAGTATAAGAACGCAAAACTTGGATGTTGTTGATGTTGATGATAAAAATGATGACCAGGTAATGATCAAGTCTTGTTCGACAAGTTTCGCCGAGAGTAACATTACCACTCTTTCTGAGGACACGCCAAATTTCAACTGGAGTTCTTTAAGAGATCTTTCCATTCCTTTAGAGAAAGTGCTCGCAGAACTTGACCAGACCTTGCAGCCGTTCATTTCAAAAGAAAAAGAGGAAAGTTCAATGAATTCTTCGCTAGAAACCTCACCGACATTGAACAGCCTGATGAAGAGATGCCCAAGTTACAACAACATTTTAACACATGCATCACTATTCGAAGAACACGCTCTAGTTAAGGAGTCGGAACATTCTGCAAGTACTTCAGATGTCGATTCCACATTCGCTGAGGTGACCGCAACTTTGCAGGAAACAACATCAGAACTTGAAACTTTGAAATTTGATTTAGAAAATAATAAAAAGTGGTTTCAAAAATCTCTTCAGGATAAAAAAGTTGACGAGCAGAAATATGATGACATTGTTTCAATAGTTAAATGCGACGTTCCTGAAAAAACAGAACTTTCACCTTTGAATTCTGACGTTGAACCGGCAGTGAATAACTTGAATCAAAGTAGCGAAACTTGCTTTTTAACTGACACTCCTGAAAACGAGAATATAATAAATTCACAAGAAACAAATTCTACAGAGATTGAAAATGCAAAAATGAAAAAGAAAAAGCAGCATTTAGCACCAGTAAGTCCAGTAAAACTAAATTTAGAGGATAAACCAAACGCCAACATTGACGATGAAACTAACGAAGTTAAACTAACGAAATCGAAAAGTGAGCTAATGAGATTGTTTTCAATGAGTAGACACCGCGACATGTCTCCCGAGCCAATATTTCTCGAAGGCCTCAAATCTCCGTGTCTAATTGAGCCTGAGATGGATGAGGTGCATTTCTTGAGCGATGAAGATTTAAGAGAGATTGACCTCGATGAAGACATACCTCCGAAACATTTGCTCAAGAATTTAAATAAAAAACAGTCATCCGCAAATGCAGAAGTTAAGAATAATGAAATTCATTATTATCAGTTTCCTAGCACTTATCAAAATTATCATTCAGGAAGCAAATACTATGCAGACGTTGAAAAAAATAATTCGATGGGAAACGGCGACAAGATGGCAAAAAGCGAAGCAGCTGAGAAGCAAATCAAACCTCAATCAAAAAGTTTAGACTTGAAAATTAAGCCATTTAATCAAATGAAGACAATCACAAACTCGCTAGATGAACGGAAACTAACACACTCAGACAAAGCAAAATCACATCTTGAATCTGAAAGGGACACTGACGACAAGATAGCATATTCAGAGACGATGTTGGAGAAGTTCATCGATATAACCAGCTCATTATTTCGACAAGCAACGGGGAAATTAGAGCCGGAGATACCTCCATCGCTCCATCGCCGCCACTCATCTCTATGGAAAGAAACGAAACGTAAATACAACTCACTCGATGAAAATGTTACACTTACAAAAAGTGATTCGGCAAAAAGTAAGTCTGGATGGTCGGTCAAATCATATTCACTAGACTCACCGGCTGCAGATTATCATGTAAATCAGATGAACAAGGATGATGAACACTTCTGGAAGCACGTGAAAGAAATTGACCAGAGACCGAGTCACCTATTTGGATTCGTACCGCGAGGAGATGATGATGCATACAGCGTTGATAAGTCAACGACTTCTGTGGTGGATGATCTACTGAGAAACACTTCAAGCCGTAGTTATCTGACTGAAGAGGACGATCTTCAAACTAAAATAATCAACGAAAGCTTTCAAAACATTCAAGAGCTCATGAAAATCGCAGACGTTAAAACGTCTTCAACGTACATTAGTGAATGTTTATCAGATGCTAACGCTGCTGCTGGGGAATCTAACGCGAACGCAAACAAGGTTATGCAAAGAAACGACAGTGACGATGGCGAAGTTGTCGACATTTTTGGCATAAAAATTTCAAAATCCAAACATTATTTGCACCAGAGAATAAAAGACGAAATAAAAATTGTGACGGCGACCAAAAGACTTCGAATTGATGAGGCGGAAGAGATTAGGATGATGGAAGCAGTGATGGCCGAAAGAGAGAAAATCAGAAAGATTAAAGAATACCCGCCCGCACCGAACAACTATAGAGAAGTTAAAAATAATCAACTCGATTACCGATACGATTATACTTCGGAAGATACGGAGCCAATCGAACCAAATATTCAAGAAACTTTTGAAGAGGAGTATATCGATGATGAATGCATAGATGATGTGTTACTAGCAAAATCTAAACTGTCGGAAGATTTTCAAAATATACTGAACGACATTTCCGATCTGCCATTACTGATTGATAAGAAACATTCAAGAGCATCGTCTGCATCTTCATACACAGGCAGTTCAACTTCTGTTGAAGCTTACGAAGCGCCCAAAAACTACACGGAAAGGGGAAACCGAAAGTGGTATTTCAACACAGCTGGGAATCGAAATCGAAATCGCTCAGAATCATCGAATAGCTGTTTTAGCGATAGTTTCGTAAAAAATAAACCGCGTCAAGGCAAACTTGAATCGCGTTCTTCTCAGATGATCTATCCGGTTGAAGATGACCAGGTTGCAGTGGCTGAGGCTTACAGCAACGTCGCCCCAACCAGCATCTCATACTCGCTGCCAGGGAGTCGATCGTCGTCGATGTCTCGATCTATAAACTCTAATTTCTCGTCCGACTACGATTGTTTTTACAACGTTAACAACGACAATTACCACGATAACTTTGATTACTACCAAAAATACGACCCAGATTATGAATACTTGTGTAGATTGGAGAAGGAAGAGCAGATGAAACAGGAGAAACTGAACAGGCTGCGTGTTGAAATTGAGAAACGACGGAAACACTTGCTGGTCATGACTCCAACGCAGCCTGCACATGCAAGCAACAGTGCCTGGCAAACGTGGAACCAGCCGCAAAATTATTGGCAGTCAGAACTCAATCATCGTCAGCAGATGGAATGGCTCCGGAGAGATGATTACATGGAGAAGAAAATGCACATCGACGAAAACTCGGGAATCATCAAACCTATCGATTATCAAATCAGCCGCCAGCGACCGCTAACCTACAATCGTTTCAATTCCGAACATGATTTTCACAGCAAGAATTTACTGATTCAGCAACAAAGACAGCAACAACAGCAACAGTTACTGCAGCAGCAAAAATATTTTCCTGATTATTACGCGCAAATGTACTACCAACAGCCAAACACAGAGCCCCAATATTTGCATGCATCTCCAAAGAAATCATCTTCAGATCAAAGACTCACTCCGATAAATTTAACAGACTTGCTGGGTATAAGTGACGTTCAGCGCGCCCTAGCAAACTCACAGTCAGGCAGTCCTCTTAACAGAAAATCTTATAGCAGTCCCACAAAAAATATCATCCATCCAATTCAAACCAGGGAAACATCTCGTCAAAACCCTTACCACACTTTGGCACAAACCTACAGGCAGTACCACCAACCAACGAAATTCAACCAGACATCCGACAGCAGACATTACTACAGAGCCACGCAGAGCAACCAAACGGAAACATCGGAATCAGAGGAATCCTTACTCCATTATTGCCTTCCTACTCACGGCAGCAGTAGAGATTCCGGTGTTAGCAGTAATGGGATGATGGCGGAAGTTCCAGCTCAAAACGATCAACTCCCAACAACGAGATCCCGATCTGGAGATCTGTTCGCCATGCAAAACTCCTCACCTGCACCTCACTACGCCACCTACAGAAAAAAAGTCGCGAGCAACCTCTGTAGAATGGGCTTGAACGTTTTGAATGAAAAGAAATATCCGAAACAGACAAATTCAGCGGCCGCGTTGAAATGTTACAACACTGGACCCCAACTCGAACAGGGATGTGCTGCTGCTAGGGATGAACAGAATACTGAGATGAATCGGAGGTTGTTATGTGAACAGGCTACACCATTGGAGAGAGGCTTTGCCAGAAGTCCAAGTGACTAAAAATTTTCAATCCACAACAATTTTTTTAAACCTTTTATAGTTTTATATTTATGATAAAACACTTTAATTATTTATAAAAATGAGGCTTCAAACATCTCACAACATATCTATGACATTAACAAACAGAACCAAGCAATTACAATTTAAGACATCATCCCAGCGTTGAAACTACCGACAAACTCGACCGATCCGATACCGCCTGTTCAATACCGACCACAACTAGGGTTGGGCATAGTTTAAAATTTACAAATATTAATAACACAATACAATAATAATTATTTTAGAACCTAAATTTAAATAAACAAATCAAAAATCAGTAAAAAAACAATTAATGTTTACAATACTCAACACAAATATACGTAACGACTTAATCTATAATATAGATTGTCAAGTATAGATAAATTAATAAAAAAAATGTCTAGCACGTGCAAGTATCGCCACAATAAGCACTAAGTACGTGAGATTAGATAAGCCAGACATTATGACCAAAAGAAGAGCCACAAATGTTAAAAAAACTCTCCCGGGTCAAAAAAATTTGCTATTTAAGCACATATGCGGCCTTCCAAAGGTAAAATAGTTCTCTATGGGGCCTTCACAGCAAAATGTTTGCCTACCCCTTGTGTTACATAGTTAAAATGTTTCAAGCACTCCGACCGCGAAACAACAATATGTAACAGTATTGGTCGTAGCAGTAGTAATTACTGCGTTATCAATGTGGTAGTAGTACTAGTAGTACAGGTAGTTATAGCAGTAATAGTGGTAAACGCAGTAATAGAAGTAGAACTACATATAAGTAGTAATAGTAGTGGTACAAATATTAGTAATAGTGTAGTTGTTGTGATAATGATAGTAGTAGTAGTAAAAGCAGTAGTAGTAATGCGACAGTAGCCACAGTAGAAGTTTGTCTACTCAGCGTTTTAAAATAACCATCTACTGATGTACTGGGGAGTAGCATGTTAATGCGCCATGTACTCTGAACATTTATATCCATGTTTATGTCCGTTTTAATGTTTGTTTATGTTTTTGTTTATATTTCTATGTATTTTTTTCTTTGTTCATGCTTTGTTTATATTTCTTCTTTTTTTTATCTTTGTTTATGTTTTTGTTTATATTAATTTTTACTTCTGTCTATGTTTGTGTCTACAGTTGTTTTATACCTTATCTAACATTAGCATTAATGACAACAACATCAACAACAACGACAATGTGATCTAATAACAAAAATAATAACCACCACAACAACAACAACAATAATAATAATAATGAACAAAAACATGAAAAAAACAATGACGTCACAGAAAATGTTATCAACAAAGAAAAAATACAACTTCCCGACGAAGAAAATATTACTAACGGCAGACTTCGGCGACAGAAAGTTCAAAGGTCACCATTTATTATTATTGTTATTATTATTATTGTTGTTGTTATTGTTGTTGTTGCTGTTATTATTAATGTATGTATGTTATAAAGATGACCTCTCTTGGTTATAGTCTGACTTTTGAATGCTGGAAGATGAAAAAAGTTATTGATTTTTTTCATCCTATTTACGAGATCCTATCATAAATCTTTTTATTATTGTTGTTGTTGTTGTTGGTGTTGTTGTTGTTTTGTGATTTTTGATATTTTTATGGTCTTATTGTTGTTGTTGCTGTTGTTGTTGTTATTGTTGTGGTTGTTATTGTTGTTATTGTTGTTATTCAAAACAACAACATCCGTAATATCCACATGCAGCAATACTAAAACAATATCAACGACAACAATAACAACAACCACAACAACAATAAAAACAACGTTATTATGCCCCAGAACACGGATACGGCTTAGACATTTTGGGCGGTCAGAACGTAAGTTACGACGGTGGTGATGTTGAAATCGGGGCAGTCGTTGTCTCTATCTATCCGGGCAGTATCGCTGATCAACTGAATAAAGAGATACATGAAGGTTTGTTGTTTCTGTTGTTATTGTTGTTACTGCTGTTGTTGTTAATGTTATTGCTGCTGTTGTTGTTGTTGTTGATGATGATGATGAAGAAGATGATTTCTTCTTTCGTTATAGTTGTTTCTCAGAAATTTTATCAATTGCACCTTAATCTATTTAAACAAACAAGCACACACGCACAAACGACTAAATATATACACACACACACATAAATACACAATCACATACAAACACATACAAACATATACACATACGCACATACACACACACACACACAAACACACACAAACACACACACACGTGCGTATACATAGCGGAAGTATGAACAGCAAAGATACAGACGCCGATATAAGGTCAACGACAATGTCAACAATTTGCACGGACGATAGCATTGTGTCGTCATCATTCGACAACAACAACAACAACAGCAACAACAACAACAACAATAACAACAACTACGCAGGTGTGAAAGGGTTAATTTTTTTTAATGCATTTTTCTCAGTGAATACAAGCATAGCATGAGGTAGGCTGTGATCTCTTTGCTTTCAAATTTGGTCACTGCAACAGTCTGAATAGGGGCTTTAACCGTGCCGCATAGATTTGTGGCTTCTTATTCAAACTATAACATTTTCATAACGACATAAGATGAATGTTCGAATACTTGAAACAATAACACGAACAAATAGATTTGAATGATGGTCTGGAGGAAGAATACCAGAACAACTTAAACAACAAATTAGCCTACAACAACCAATCACCGTCGGCCACGTCATCAGTTCGACGACAACATCAACAACAACATCAACACCAACAACATCAACACCAACAACTACAACAACAGCAGCAGCAACAACAACAACAGAATCAACAGCAACATTATCATCAGCAGCAACAACATCTTAGAAACTTTGAAAATTCAAAGTCGCCAAAAGCCACTGACTCTCTCCAGGCAGGTCCCTTCAGTCTCGAGGCCTTCACTAACAATATTATGGCTTTAAAATCTGAAGATAATAAAAAGGCTTACCTTGGTGAAATTCAGGTTGATGCTGATTATAGTTGTGATTATTTTTATTATTGTTATTATTTTTATGGTGGTGTATATGGTTATGCCTATGTTATAATGGTTGTGAGGGTAGTGAAAAATGTCGACTGTGACTGTGATGACGACGACGACGATGATAACGCCCCCAACATCAACAATATCATCAACAACATCATCATCAACAACAACAACATCAACAGCATCATCATCAACAACAACAACATCAACAATATCATCAACAACAACAACAACATCAACAATATCAACAATATCATCAACAACATCAACAACAACAACATCATCAACAACAACATCATCAACAACAACAACAACACAACAATATCAACAATAACATCATCAACAACAACAACGCAGCTACAACTCAGTTACGATGATTACGACGGAACCTTAAACGTTCACGTCATTCAAGCCAGAAATTTGGTCCCGAAAATCAAAGTTGGCTACTCTGATCCGCTTGTTAAAGTCTTCCTCCTACCTTATAAATGGTATGTAGTAGTAGTAGTAGTAGTAGTAGTAGTAGTAGTAGTAGTAGTAGTAGTAGTAGTAGCAGTAGTAGTAGCAGTAGTAGTAATAATAAAATTTTCTAACTTACAGCAGCACGGAGAGCAAGCGAAAGACCAAATGCATTCCAAGGACTCTTCATCCAGAATGGCACCAGACACTAATTTTCCTCCACGTCCCGAAGGAAAAGTTGTTCGAGAAAGTTCTCGAAGTATCCGTGTGGGATCACGATCAGTTTCTGCCGGATCAGATACTTGGAGAGGCTTTGATTGACTTGTCCGGTTGGTCTGAAGAATGTGATATATTAACATTACCTTATGGATTTGAGTTTTTGTAGGAAACAAAACAAATGACTCCTCCAACAACACCAATCAGACATCAGCCACCTGGACAACCGCCCCCACTGGTACTTCCTCGTTGAGGACAGTGACAGTCGGTTCGGCAAGCGCCCTCGGACGAGCACGGCGTCATCATCGTCAGAGAGTGGAGGTGACGACGACGATGAGGATGAAGATAACTCCTCATTCAGTTCGAAAAGTTGCGATACCAGTAAAGGGTCCGATCATCATCATCACCATCATCAACACCACCGTCGTCGGCGTCATCATCGCCATCATAGTACCGGAAGTGGAGGAGCTGCCGGAAGCGGAAGTGGTGGAGGGCATGGAGAAGATGGGAAGAAGAAAGCAAGAAAGTTGGTTGTCGCCGTCGTTGATGATGCCATTTATTTTATTGATATTATTTTCAATGTTTATATTTTGTATTATCGCCCGTTCAAGGTCGTCATCAGGAAGCACAAACGTACCAGCAACAACAAACTGCCCCAATCTTCCTCCGAAGACCAAAAAACAAAGAACAATAAACAAACAATCGAAAAAACACGACGAGCAGAACAATCAACGTGACAACAACACAGAAACAACAACAAATTTTGATGATGTCTCTCCAATGGATAACAATAGCGAAAGAAAGAAAAAGATTGATGAAGAACTGGCTCTGTGGGGAAAACCCAGGGGCCAAGACAGAAATTGTGATTATTATTATTGTTACTATTATTAAAATTCTATCACGATCACTATTTATATCACTATCGTCCAAAACTTGCCCTTTGCAGATGACCGAATCGTTTTAACTCCGCCCACAAGACGTTCGTCGACCAATCACGAAACTGCAAGTAACAAAAGGTCTCCTATAAATAGCCCAAACAAAAACAACAACAACAATAATAATAATAATAATAACGACTTTGATAATTATAACAACAACAATTTTAGTAATAACAGATATCTAAATAGCAATATTGTCAATGATGACAATTTTAATCACAATAATAATAACAATAATAATAATAATAATAATAATAATAATAACAATAATAATAATAACAACAACAATAATAATAATGGCGATGACGACAACGATAATGAAAGTAAGGTATCTAGGAATGTACATATAACATGGGTTAGCTAGTTAAAATGTAAATTAGATCAGTTTAAAATTAAGAAACAAATTAATTGCAATTGATTTGAAAAATAATTTCTTATAATTAAATAATGAATAGTTTTTCATTTTAATTTAATAAATTTCCTTCAAATAAAACGTGATAAAGAATGACTCATCACAGAAAACTAAATCAACATTGTACGATCAGAAGACTCTTAGCAGAGGTAGGCTTTCTCTGATTGGTCAAATTATTTTGTCCAATCATTTTATTTCATCCATTTTAGCCAAGCTTCATTAATTCAATATATAATTTATTGATCATCAAACCAGTTCAAATTTATTCAAAAATTTAATCAAACAACATTTCAACCAATGCCAACACATAAAGACGTTATCCAACCAAAGCGCTAGTTGTAAAAAAAAATACAAAAATATCATCTAATCAAAGTACTAGTTATAAATAGACGTTAACTATCAGCCAATCACGTGCCTAGATTGTAATAACCATCAAATATCATCCAATCAGAGTGCTACTTATAAATAAACATTAAATCATCAACCAATCACGTGTCTAGATTGCAGTAACCACGAATTAGTGACTTGTTTTAGACGAACTCTCACTTCTGTGTGGAGCACGGTCAGCTGTTGTACGAAGTACGATTCGCTCACTAAAAAGAAGGTTTCTATAATTTTTAATTTTAAATAATTTCGATTTTAATAATTCTATAATTTTTATATTATATTTAATTATAATTAAATATAATTATAAATCATTTCTAAACTTTCTCCTAAGAAAAACTACCTTATGAAAAACTCGTGCAAGAAAGGAATTCAAAACCCAGAAGTTCTCGTATAACTGAATAATTGATTGAATGAACGAATAGGTGATTGAATGAATAAATAAATGAAGGAATGAATGAAGAGTGAACAAATGAATGAGCAAATGCATGAATGAAAGGATCGTTAAATGGATATGTGATATGATAAAATGTGAGTATTATAAATGAACTAACGAGTGAACGAATGAACGAACGAACAAAATGAACAATCGAACGGACGGATTGAAAAAATTAAAGGAAAAATGAATAAACGACTGTATGAGTCAATTTTGATAACATGTAAAAAACCTTATATGATGTAACGACATTGACGATGTTTATTTTACTATGTGATAGTCACAAATTTGCTTACTACTATACTGTATATATATATATATATACACACAAACAAGCAAACACACACACAAACAAGCAAACACACACACAAACAAGCAAACACACACACAAATATTCACACATACACACAACAAAACATTTAATATGCAAAACGTTTCTCCTTTTTTTATATTTTTTACCATTTTAATAACCATCAACTCCTATATATTTTAACTTATATATAGATATATACGTTTGTTAATAACCATATAACCTCAATATATTTCTTATGTTAGAATGCAATTCTTTCTCTTATTACACACACACACACACACACACATATATATATATATATATATATATATATATATATATATATATATATATATACACACATACATTCACAAACACACCTTCTATACAAACCAACACCTTACACACATACTTAAGTCCTACTCAAGTTAAGCTTAAGACTTTATTGCCATGGAATCTATCAGTTACAATAATAGATATGATAAATTATACTATACTATATATATAATTTTAATTAATAATATAGTTAGTCATCTATCGTAATTCTAATTCTTTTTACATTAAGTAAACTGTCTTTAAAATTTATATAAAGTATGGTAGTCTGTGTGTGTGTGTGCATTTGTGTGGTGTTTTATTATCATTACTATTATTAATTGTAATATTATTATTTACTGTAGTTGTAGTACTCGCAGATTTGTTATTATATATATATATATATATATTTATATATATATATATATATATATATATTGATTTCTCCACCGTTATTTCCGCTTGTGCGTGTTAACAACACTGTGCATGTAGATCGTGTATTTATTTGTGTTTAAAATTGTATCGAGATACATTTGCATATACGAATGTGATGCCTATATGTGTGTGTGTATGTACTTGCGTGTGTTTTTATATGTGCGTATTTGTATACATGGGTACATTTCGCTATAGAATTTTTGGCAATACCCATTTAGCGATTACTATTACATACAAACATGAAACCAAATTACACATACATACACACACACACACATACATACACACAGACACAAACCAAACTCTTAAACGCTTACTCTTGACTGCTCATTTAGAAATTTAAAATATCACATTTAGCTCCATTAGTTTGTATGCATAATCGTTTGTCTGTCTAACTGAATACTTTAAAAGATACTGTTGTCACCGTTTTAGACAAAATAAAATTTACGATTTTTCAAAGATATTTGTGTGTCTTTGCATGAATACAACCAAGTGGAGCGCAACGACATCTGCAGGCAACCATTTTTTGTATGGGTGTGGAAAAAGTCGCATCATAAAGCACGCACTTGAGACGCATGTCTCAGGATAGTCTGTCTCAAGATGGTCTGTCTCAAGATGGTCTGTCTCAAGATAGTCTATCTCAAGATAGTCGACTGATGACGCAATCTAACTGAACCAGAGCAACAACAACATAGAACACGGCCACAGATTCGCGTATACCTGATAACGTTTACACACAAAATCCAATTGTCGAGCCTGTTAAGAAATTATAAGAAAACCAATTTTCTAAAGAGCTCCAGCAAAAATTTCTTTGACATACTGAAAATAAAATCAGTACTTAAAATTCGAAAAATTTATTTTACTCACACTAAAACAATAAAAAAAATAAAAACATTAACAACAACAACAACAAAAACAACAAGAATCATATTTTCACATTCAGACATTATTAATAACATTAATAATGTTCCACGTGCGTGTTATACATGAAAAAGAAGCACATAGCTTTGTTATCCAGTAAAAAGTAGAGTGCTGAAAATATGCGATGTCATAAATTTTCCTAGATTCAATCGTTGTAAAATTTAAATATGAAGAGTGAAAAATAACAGCAACCTAGCATCTATCTATCTACCAGGACCATAAATAATAATAATAATAACAAATAACAATCATAATAATGATAAATATTAAAGAAAAGAAAACCAAAAAATAATAATAGTGAATTCTTTTAGTCTAAAAAGTAAAATACCTCCCAATCATGAAAAAATGGACAACAGCTAAGAAGCGACAATAAATTATACGTTTATATGTGTGAATATAAATAAAGAAGCTATCCAAACAGTAGTATAGTAATAATAAATGTTCTTCACAGAGTTGACACCAATAACAACATTAACAAAAATAATAATAGAAATAATTTGAGAAATATTTATATATACGTGTGTTTATCTGAATGATGTCAGATCAACTACATATAACAATTCTAGAACTTCTTTCAATATTTTGCTTTTCCCGAGCATTAAGTTGCCAACCTTGTCAACTTTGTAAACGAAAAAAACTAAAAGAACAGAACAATGAGTGTCACTGATGACTGTACCAACCAAACCCTATCATCAACAACGGATCTATCCACCGATAGATAGAAAATTAATCAGAAAGATTACAAAAAGTCGGGGGGAGTAAGTAAATAGAGAGAGAGAGAGAGAGGAGAGAGAGAGAGAGAGAGAGAGAGAGAGAGAGAAAGAGAGAGAGAGAGAAGGGAGTTGTTTGTTTAAAAGTTGATTGGCTTGCCGCAATATGCTGCCAAGTGTGCTTCTCTCAAAGCTTCTGCAACAGTCTGCAAGTAAGTATAAGTAGGAATGATATTATTAACGATGAATTAACAGTAAGCAAATGACAATTGAATAAATTATTTAATCAAAAATCATTAAAATTAGCAATTAATTAATTAATTAATTAGTAATTTAGTAATATTAATTTAAAAAAGGTAGCTTACGGGGTGGGCATGGCAGACCCTGGCCACGTCCTCACACGACGCACCGTACTCCATGGCCAGTACCGCCTCGTTTATCAGTTCACCAGCAACCTGAGTTGGATTGGCAAGATGACATTGAATGGATAACTAAAGTAACAATTCATTGATTGGTTGATAAATGGAATGAACTAATTCGAAGCGTATATGAAGATGGATTCAATTGAAATTTTAAAACAAAATAAACCCTTATATAAAAACAATCAGTTTGTTGAAGAATAAACGAACTCATCAGATAGTCACACAGCTAGCAACTAACAAACCAACCAATCAATAAATCAATCAACTGACCAACCAACCAGCCAACCAACCAACCGATGAAATGATGTGACACCCAAGAACTCTATCAGTTTCTTGATCGCCGAGAACTTTCACGAATCCGTCAGTATCCATGTTACATTTTGATCGACTATTTGCAAGCATTGGGAACTTTCCTACTTTGTACTTGATACCCTGTGGCGTTACAATTAGGAAGTAATTAAAGTTTCAGAGTTACATAAGGTACTGTGCTATACACACACGCGCCCATGCCCTATCCATTATAACGCATATCCTGATGAACTTTTGGACGCAATTACAAGCATCACGACTCTAAATATAAGGTGCTATAAAAATGACACATTATAAATGACATTGTTGAATGCTGGCAGCAACACAAGCTAACGGCTTCTTTGAGTTGTTCCTCGCTCTTTCCGACCCAGGCGACCTCGGGGTGGGTGTAGACGACGGAGGGCACACAATTGTAATCTATGTGGCCCGACCCGCCTACCATGCCCTCAACGCAGATCACACCTGACGATGACGTCATGATGATGTCACGATGACGTTTCAATTTATTTCAATGAGTTAATTTAATTTACGCAAATGAGAGAATTTATTCAAATGTGTTAATTTATTCAAACGTGTTAATTTATTCAAATGTGCGAATTTATTCAAATGTGTTAATTTATTCAAATGTATGAATTTATTCAAAGGACCTTCATCTTCAGCCTTGTGGGCCAACATGGGCCCTTCAATAACATCCCCAATGGCATATATGCTGTTCAACAAATTATTAAAAGATAAATAAAAATTATTGTTACAGTTTTATTATTACTATTATTATTACTATTATTGCAATAGATAATTGTAGTAGTTAATATTTATATTTAGCACAGCCCTGGAATCAAAAATCCTGTAATCCCTAATCACTAACTTGGGTACAGATGTTTGAAACTTCTTATTAACCGGTACTCTGCCTTTGTTGTCAAGGCTGATTTTAACATTTTCAAGTCCAAGATTTTGTGTGTATGGTCTTCTGCCAATGCAGACTAACAACACATCGCAATCCAACTGTATGTGATTGAATGTGTGTGTGGGTTTATGTGTTTGTATTAGACTTAAATCATGTAAGTTTAATTATACATTTAATATTTAGAATCCTTTAGCTAAATTTAAAATCAAACTTAAAGGAAAAAAATTATGATCAACCAACCACTCAGTCAACCAACTAACCAGCTAGCCAATCAATCAACAAATCAATCAACCAATAAACCAGTCAACCAGCCAACTAACTTGTAGTTTCTGCTTCTTCTTCATATCCTCGGCCTCCACTTTGATATTTCCTCCTCCCTCCTTCACAGCACTCAGGACTTTTGTCTCCAGTTGAAATTTCAAGCCTTGCTTTGTCAGAGATCTTCAATATACAAATACAAAAAATGGCACTAACAAATACGCATAACATATAAATACAGAAAGAAACAAAGAGAGAGAGAGAGAGAGAGAGAGAGAGAGAGAGAGAGAGAGAGAGAGAGAGATTGAAAGAGAAAAGCAGAGAAAAAGAAAGAAAACAGTGAAAGAGAGAGGGAGAAATAAAAAAGAGAGAGAGAGAGAAAGAGAGAGTGTATGCATACCTTTGAATATGTTTAAAAAGAGAAAAAGAAAGAAAACAGTGAAAGAGAGAGGGAGAAATAAAAAAGAGAGAGAGAGAAAGAGAGAGTGTATGCATACCTTTGAATATGTTTAAAAAGAGAAAAAGAAAGAAAACAGTGAAAGAGAGAGGGAGAAATAAAAAAGAGAGAGAGAAAGAGAGAGTGTATGCATACCTTTGAATATGTTTAGCCACTTCCAGATCAATTCCAAATCCTCCAATGTTACCAAGGAATTCAATAAGTGTAACTTCAGCCCCCAGACGAGACCAGACTGAACCCTGCACGAATAACATACACAGACTTACCGAGATACTAGCATGAAGAACTTATTAAACAAATAATCGGACAGACAAACAATAAAGTAGAAGACAAATAAGCAGACAAACAAACAAAAAACTAGACAAACAATCAGACAGACAGACAGGCGGACAGACAACTAACTAATTCAACTCCAATAACACCAGCTCCAATAACAATCATTTTCTTGGGAACTTGAGACAAGGAAAGGGCTCCAGTCGATGATACAACGGTCTTCTCATCTATCTGTTTAATGTCATTTTCAAGATGATGACAATGATAATCTCTGAAACTAACTGCTATGTTAATAATAACTAGAGTTATAACAGCATTGACATGATATTTAAAAACCATGAACAAAAATTCAAAAAAATATGGCATTGGTTTGTCACTGAAATTATGTTAAAAATTTGAATAAAGAATGATAGCAAACAACAACACAACATAAAGTATTGCCCCAACCTCGATACCAGAAAAGGGCATGACCTCTGACCCAGTTGCAATGAGGATGTTCTTTGTGGCAACAGACTCGGTACTGCCATCATTTTTTTTTACCACAACTTCATTTACACCTGTAATGGTACCATGTCCTTCAATATGGCGAACCTAAATCAATCAAAATTAGGTGGGGAAAATAGGGATGTGAGATATTTTACAAAAACTGGGTAAATAATTATTTTAGAATTTGATGATTTATTGAATAGTACTAATCAAAACAGTCATAACCTTGTTCTGTTTAAAAAGATGGGCAATGCCACCCGTGAGGGCCTTCACAGCTGCCACCTTCTGACTCATCAACTTGTCCAAGTTCAAGGTCAAGTTGTTGACTGAATGAATGAACAGTCAAATGAATGAATACATAGATTAACTGATGGACATGTGAATGAATGGATGCATGAATAAATAGACTAATGAGTTAATGAATGGCACTAAGATTTGAATTCAAGTGTAAATATGTTATAAATATGTTATTTCCTGAGTAAAAAACACAAATAACAAACATTCAATTCCCCTGATAGCAAAGTCATTATGCTTAGCCATGTGCCAATAATGAGAATTGTTGAGTAGGGACTTGGAAGGAATGCAGCCAACATTCAAACACGTTCCTCCAAGAGTTGGATCTTTCTCGACACACACAGTCTGTATTTAGAAAGACATTTAACCAAAAAAATACAAAATTTAAGAATTTTATAAAGTTGGGAGGATGGTTAACAAAACTAGATAGGATTTTTGTGAAATGATGTTTGAATTTTAAATATATGTAAAAAAATGTACATGCCTTCATTCCCAATTGGGCAGCTTTGATGGCCGCCACATAACCACCAGGCCCTGAACCGATAACAACAAGATCTGCATGCTCACCTGAAAGTATTTTTGATAATGATTAATAAATTAATGCTTGATTGAGTAAGCTCACTATTAAAATACTAGAGCAAACAAAAATGGCCAACCTGAGGCATAAGTTCGATGTTGGAATGAAGAACCAAGTGGAATTGAGAACTTTTGACAGTTTATGAAATTCTGTTTAATTTGAAAATAGATTAGTTATTACTTAGTACCAATGAACATGTCAGAAAACATTACCGTGAAAGTAAATATTAAAATTTAATTTGATGTTAGAACGATATGTTGTGCGGAATTTCAATCAGGAATGAATAAAAAAAAGAGGAACATCTCAGATCAAGGATGTATTCCTGATGAGAATGAAATCATAATGGATTCATGATGGATTCATGATAGAAAAAAATCGTGAACGTGACCTTTATTTTATACAATTAATTAATTTAAATTTAGTGAAAAAAGAATACAAACCTTGCAAATTAAACTGGTGCTCTTGTGCGAAATCATTTTGAAAAAGACGTCGAGAAAATAATAAATATAAAACCACTTTCCTCTTGAAAACGCTTAAATCACAAACTATTAGGAAAAAAATCGGTATGTCGGGGTGCGTTATTAATTAAAAAATTTAATTATATTTCAACATATTATAATAAATATTTATTTGTTGGAAATTTGACATTTTTTATTTTTTTATATTTATTTGAAACAAGACGTTTAAAAAAATTTTCGAAAATATTTTTCTAAAGGCTAAATTAACATTTATATTATAGACGAACAATTTCTCTTTTCCGGCTTTTCTACGCTGTGTGGTAGTCGAACGTGCTTGAGGTAGAAAAGTGAGTTTTGTGATCGCACTTATTTTACATTTAACATAAATAAAATATTCCTTAAATCGCTAATTTTTAAATTTGTTTAAAAACTATTTGTTGTGTGAAATGTGGTTTTACCCTTTAATTAAATTTAAACAAACATGACAACAGGCAGCGGTACAACACTGACTAAAAATTAAAAAAGATGGTTCAGTTAGGACAGTTTGGAGATCTCAAGACTTCCGATGGTCTCAAAAATCTCAACACCTATCTCGAAGACAAATCTTACATTACCGGGTATTTTTTACTAAATTTTGCAGACATTTTCTCGTTGAATTTAAATTTTTTAAATAAATTAATAAACATTTGACATTGTATTGTTTACTATGCACTGACCCTCTTCTCAGATATCAGCCAAGCCAATCAGATGTTGCTGTATTTGAACTGTTAAAGGGAGCACCATCTGCTGAGTACATACACTGCCTTCGCTGGTTCAATCATATCAAGTCATATGGGGATGATAAGAAAAAGTGTCTCATCCTCTCTTACTTTATTTAATTGTTTTTAAATAATCCTCTAATAACTTTTTTTATAATTAATTTATTTTGATGAATTTAACAATAGGTTTCCAGGTGAAAAACCAAAACTTGATGCTAAACCAGCAGCTCCAGCTGTTGCCAAGAAAGATGATGATGATGACATTGACTTGTTTGGGTCTGACGATGAGGTTGATGACGAAGCTGAAAGGGTCAAGAAAGAACGTTTGGCTGCTTACGAAGCTAAAAAATCTAAAAGTATGAACTTTCGAATTTAATTAACTCTGATTTCTTTTGTGTACAGAATGTTTATCCTATTCTGAAACTCATGGATAAAATTTTTTTAATTTAATTAGAGTTCAATATTTGTTGACCATTTACACTTTTACAGAGGAAGCCATCATAGCCAAAAGTAACATTGTGCTCGATGTCAAACCCTGGGATGATGAAACGGATATGGCTCAGGTGGAGGAATGTGTTCGATCCGTACAGTGTGATGGTCTGCTCTGGGGGGCCTGTCAGTTTTTTTTTAACTTTTTTAGTTTTTCTAATTTATTTCTCTGTAGTTTTATGTTTTAGTATTAAACTTAAATTTTTGTTTTTTTTTTAGCCAAGCTTGTACCTCTTGCTTATGGTATTAAAAAATTACAAATAACCTGTGTTGTTGAAGATGACAAGGTGAATTTTTTCTCTTTACTTGACATTTTTTTCATAATGTTTTTGATGCAGTTAAACTTAAAGCTTTTTTCATAATAACCGCATTCTTAACTTGTTCATGATTAGGTTGGCACTGACTTTTTGGAAGAAGAGATAACAAAATTTGAGGATCTTGTGCAATCAGTTGACATTGCTGCCTTCAATAAGATATAAAAACAGACAGCTAACTTATTAATTTTGTCTTGATTTATAGTTTCAAATAAATTGTCTGTTTTCGTTTGATTTGTTTTCTGTGAGTAGTCGTGAGCGTGTCAGCTGCGTGTATATTGGTGCGGTTCTTAGAAGTCGATTTTGTAGCGATAGGTGGTTAGTGGTATATAAATCAATTAGCAACAGTTTAAAAATCATATTTAGACTTTTACCATATATATATGGAATATTGTTAGGCTATATATGTGTTATGCTGTATGCACATATAATTGTCTGTCAACTGAATGTAAGATGTCTTTGTTGAAATAAAATTAAATCTATGCTGGGAATTCCATTCGAAACTGAAAGCTTATCTGTTGGTTATCCGTGTTCTTTAATGTTATATCAAGTGATTTTATGTTTAAACCGATTCAGTCTTTTGTGGTATCAGTGTAAACATTTTCTTCATCAAAATTAAATGTCAATGAATAACAAAAAGTAATCAAATTTTAAAATAATACAAATTATATTGAAACAAAAAATGTATGTAATGTCTCCTAATTCTTATTAAAATTGAAATGTATGTATTTTTTTCTATTACTTTATTACTATTTATGTAAATGAATTGAACCGAAAGTAATAAAATTCTCAAGTAAGTTTTAGTTAGCTGTTAGTAAGTGTAAATTGTCATGTTCCGGATTTCAGGATTAGTAGTTGATGCTCAAAAATTCGCTCAAGTTTTGATTAATTCACGACCTGGAGAGGAAAAGACTGGAGAAAAGGAAGAGGATGGAGAAGATGAAGATGCTGAAGAAGAGGAAGATGCTGGAGAAAATGAAAAGGAAGCTGGAGAAGTGGAGGCTAGGGAGAAGAAGACCCTCCAACCATTACCAAGTGCCAGTTGGTGGTTCACTGTTGTGAATGAAGGTGAGGACATCATAACTTGTGATGATTCATGTACTCCCAGAGCTAAAATGACATGTGGGCACATATTGAGTTAGTAGTGTAAGATTGAAGCTATAAATATTTTTTTCGGACAGTTTGATGCTTCTTCTCTGCCTGTTACATTGTAATCAATGCTTGTATGAGTATTGACAGAAATTTGTTTTTGACAAAATATTGTTCACGTTATTTTTGATTAAATTAATCATTCAATCTAATAACTGGTCTGGTATAATAAAGTAGTTTGATGTAATTTTATAACTTGAAAAAATTCATTGAAAGATTTGCTACTCACTAAGTATTTATTACAAATTTTTCAATCTTACCAGCCCCAGAAAGTATGGCTGATTACTGTAGAAGTATATTACAAGCAAATAAGCACATCATACAATGCCCCGCCTACACATGTCAATCAGAGTGGCCGTATTTCGTTGTCAGGCACATTTCTTCGTTTGCACTGAGAGCAAGTGAACTGGAAGAATTTGATATAATGCTTTCTGAAAGATACTTGAACAGAAACATTGGAATTCAGAAGTGTCCAAAATGCAGTACGTACATTATGAAGGACGCCACTGTTAAGACTAACAATGTTTTCTGCCAAATCTGCTCCAAGAATGGAAAAAAAAAATTTTTTTGCTGGCTTTGTTTGCAGCCTTGGCTCAGTGATCAAGAAAGCAGCAAATGTGGAAATTTGAACTGTAGTGACGTAGATAAAAGAATTACAATTTTACAAGATTGTCCTAATAAAGTCATACTGAATCGTGATGCTCCGTCGATTAGGGGTTGTCCTAAATGCGGACTTCTGCTTGAATACAAATCTGCTTGTTCTCAAATCTGCTGCAAAGGCTGCAAGCATTATTTCTGCTTCTTCTGTTTGAAAGGGGCGACAAGCAAAGCCCTGCTGACTTGTGATCCTTATAACTCATCCTGTCAGATTGCCCCCAAGCAAACCTTTTTGCCTGGAATGTGATCCATCCAAGTAACCGGTCAAGAAGTCGTTTCTTCATTTTGTTGCACATTGGTTATATAATTGCTTTTGCTTCAATCATATTATATATTTTTTATGAGTTCACCTATGTACGTTACATATTTTTAGACCATTCTAATAATATTATTAATGTTATCTTATGTTATCTTATATTTTTCAAACTATTGGCTAACAATTCAAATATGTCAAATATTTTGCTTCAAAATAATATTCTGTAAGGTGCTAATGATCGAGGTGCGCCTGTGATCATAGCGTTCAACAACATTTAGTGAAATTTTCAAAACTATGATATATTTTGTTCTTATGAGAAAATTAAAATTTAATGATACGTTTGAAACTCGGGAGTTAGTTAATGGTTGTTTCTTGAAATGTGATACATTGTTGGTTGGTGTGTTGGTGTTGCTTTGGTTGGTGTATTGGTGTTGCTTTCGTTTATTCACTCCATTCATTCATTCATTCATTCAAACATTCATTAATGATTGAGTACGCTGCTTCCTTTATGTCGTCTTCCGTGCAATGCGATACAGCACTTAATCCACCAATTCGAAAGAAGATGTACACTAGAGAGAAAGTGAGAATATAAGGAAAGGAACAGAAAGAGAGGAAGATATGGAAAAGAAAAGAGCGTATATTGCTTGTGTTGCAGGCGTGTGCTGTGGACATCACAGTGAAAAGAAATAAGCATGTTCATGTGTGATCATTTGCTGCTGCTTGTCACATAAGCACAGGTTAGAGTATGTGCATGCAGAATGAATAACAACACATAAAGGCTGTCTTGCTTGCTCATATAAATATACCAGCGATTATGTCTTCATTCTCGTGTTGAATCAACAATTTACCGTTTTAGTACATCCTTTGCGTGATAAGAAACATTCAGGAGTCTAAATTCTGAAGTTTAAAAAAAATTTCAAATAATTGTGGAATATCTGACCGTTTAATGATAGCAGTAGATTTAATTAAAGTATTGGATACTCTCTCCAAAATTAATTCATAACTCTTATTTGTCACAACCAGCAACATCTGAGAAAAATTTTCAGAAATTTACGTCTCAATAATTAGGAGAAACGATGCAACAACTGCCGCCATCTTGTGGTGCTCGTCAACTGAGCAAATTAAAAAGATTCATGACGACCCTGCAACAATTTGCCTGCGACATCTCACCACAAACTGGTCTACACGTCCGAAGCCTCTGTCTGTCGCTAGTGGTCAGTTGTTGTAGACGTTTGTATCTGATTTTATATGAAGAAACCTTACAACTGTTTATTGATTGAATCAGTTTTAAAGTTTTGAAATTTTCGCAATTTGTCTGGTCAACGCTCAATTTTCCATAGTTACTAAAAAAAAGTTTCTGGCTATTAATTTTTAAAAATAAAATTATCGCAGTAAATTCGTTCAGTCATTTTCTTGTTTCAAACAGAACAATCAAGTGACGGTTGAAGAATTTCATAACCAGCTACAACAGGCCACAAATTTTCCAATGAGGCCATTTATTATTCCCTTTCTAAAGGTTAATTTTTTTGGTTTAGTTCTCTAAATTTTTGTCATTTTCGTTGTATAAATTTTGACAAAGTTTTGTAGATTTTGTTAGACAAAACATATTATTGTGTTGAGCATTTGATCTAATTAATCGTTTAAAATGGCATGAATTCATCCAAGTAGATTTGACAAAAGAATAATGATATTGGTTTTTATTATAACGGATTGAATTCATTTACTCAGTCCAACCAATTTTCAGACAACTCTGCCCTTCCCCCAGCGGGAACTTGTTCACTGTTCTCAAATCGCCAGACTTTCACCACATCTCTATTTCATACGTTCTTGTCCACCAAACTCCGGACCTCCTGATAACATAAATGCAGAAACATCAACTAATCTTCTCAACATGGACTTCGAAGTGAACAAGCAACAAGATGACGAAGAGAATAATGGGGAAATTGAAATAACTGATAATTAAATGTACAATTTTTTGTGGAGATGTTTATTGAATAATTTTTTAACAAAAATAATAAAACTGAAGCTTTTGCTATAAGGTTTGAGTGTTTTCAATTTAAAAATTGGTTAAATGAACAAGTAGAGTGCACTGAATTTTTCTAAGTCAAGGGAGGGCAAACGTTTTGCTGTGAGAGCCACATTGAGAACTATTTTACTTTTGAAGGGCCGCATATGTACTTAAATAGCTAATTTTTTCGACCCGGGCAGAATAATTTTTTTAAGATTTGTGGCTTCTTTTTTTTGGTCATAATGTCTGGCTGACGACTTTTTTTGTCAAACAAGGCCTCGCGAGCCGTAGTTTGCCCACCACTGTTCTAGGTGTATGGTCATGGTATTTAGTAAACGTATAAATTTTAAATAACATAGACAAATTGAATTCTATTATTGAAATCGATTTTAGTTTCTATGGTTTTACGAGTGATAATATAAATATTCGACAGCAAATCTACTTCCAATTCACAATTTAGATTTGAGATGAAATTCAATTTTTAGAGGTTTTAATTCAAAAAATAATAATAATGACTAACGAACGACATTCAAAATCTAAATCTCCGTCAAAGTCACATTCTGACGATCATCATCGGCGTCGGCATAGAGCTGAGGAAAGATCAGACAGGTTTAAATTTTAATTATTTTATTTTTAATTTACTAAAATCTTTTTATGGTAAAACCGGAGTTTTGTGTCAAATTACAAACAAAAATATACAAATTTGATTTGGGTATGGGCACCCAGAACAGATCTCTGGTTTTACTTTCTTTGGAAATAAACATTGATATTAATATTTATTAATTAAACTTAAACTAACAATTGGATTTTTTTAAATTTTAAAGAATTTTATTTATCATGTTTAAAAATATAAAATTGAGAAGTGATGTTTATTTCATAAATTTAAATAATTAAGTAACAAGAATTGACAAATTTCTAGTTGTTTATTACATTTTATTTTATGATCACAACTACCAATCAGTTCTCAATTTGGAATTATTTTTTTACGCTTAAAAAAATTTTGAAATAAGTACGTATCATGTATTTAGGTGTTTTAATTTCTATAATTTTTATTATTAAATGAATTTTATTCTGACAGGGATAGAGAGAAGCACAGAGACCGGGTTAAGGATGAAGAAAGAGACAAAGAGAGAGAGAAAGAGAGAGACAAGGAAAGAGACAAGGAAAGAGAAAGAAATAGGAAGAGAAGTAGGGAGAGGAGCAGAGATAAAGAAAGAAATGGCAGAGACAAAAGCAGAGATAGGAAAATTAAAAGACATAGATCAAAGACTCCTGAGCTGACTGAACCAACGAAACAAGAAGAGTGAATTAAATTTTGTTTTTAATTATCGTCATGTTTTATTTAGTTTTTTTTAAACCATTCTGATGATTACTTTTTTATATATAATTTTCATTTTTCAAAGTTTTTTCAAAATATTAGGTTAAAACCGGAGGAGATAGAGGGAAATGAAGTGGCAGCTGATTCTAAAAAACGAGTTCCGCTCTCGTTAGAAGAAATATTGGCAAAAAAGAAAGCTGATCAAGAAGCAGAGAGCAAGGTTTACATAATTTATTACTCAAATACTTAATTTATTAATCACTTACTTAATTGATCGAATAATTAGTTATAATATTTACTACAAATCAGTTTATAAATACTAATTCCAATTTTTAATTTATATTTTTTTGCTTTGCATTGTTTTCTTAACTTTTAAAAATTTTCATCATCCATCCGCCCGCAGCCGAAATTTCTAACAAAAGAGGAACGGGCGATGGAGGCCTTAAAGAGGAGGCAGGAGCAAGTGAACCAACAGAGGAAAGTGCAGGAGGAAGAGAGGAAGAAGCAGCAGAATTTCATCAAGGCGGCCAGGGAATCTATGGGAAGTTGGTTATCTTTTCAATTATTCAATCAATCAGTCAGTCAATGAAATAGATTTATACAGCATATCTTTGTAAAATTCAATGATATTTTAGCAGGATTATCAAAGAAATATGTTTCTGATTAGGGAATTAACTATTTTAACTATTTATTTAATTATTTATTTAATTTTTTAATTACTTATCTTATTAGTTTATTAATATTTATTTATTGTCTCCAATGTGATTACAAATCTTTGTTACCAACAACTCTAACGTGAATAATAATGACAACTATTTCACTGCAGTGGATTTATACGAGAGAGAGAGAAGGGAGAGATGGGAACGAAGAGAAAGAGAGAGAACTGGAGAGGCCCCGGCCGAAGAAAGTGGACCCCTAGCTAAAGAAAAATTGACCGAAATGAAGGAAAAAGAAAAGGAGTTGGATGCTGTCAAGGTTTTTACATAAATTTTATCTTTTTTAATTTATATTTTTAATTGTTAATTTAGTTTATTGAAAGTAGTGATTGATAGAAATAATAATAATAATAATAATAAATAACCATATTAGTGATGATAAAAAATAATAAGTTTCCAAAAATTGTATTTCAACAGGAAAGATACCTGGGGATGATTAAGAAGAAGAAGCGAGTTCGTCGTCTGAATGACCGAAAATTTGTTTTTGATTGGGACGCTGGCGAAGATACGAGTACTGACTACAATCCCATATACAAAGATAAACACCAAGTTCAGTTTTTTGGCAGAGGCCACATTGCTGGCATAGATATAAAAGTATGGAAAAATTTGTTACTTTTTTTCACCGATTTTTTAAATGCTTGATGCTGTATCTTGAAAGATTTGTTTTTTATCTAAATTTTTGGAATTGTTTATTCAACCTGCTTTTCAAATGGTATTTATTAATTCCAATCATTGATGTAACTTTTTTTATTTCACAATTTTGAATTCTCAAATGTACTGAACACAAGATGATTAGTAGTATGATGTGATTGGCTGTTATCTTTAAGCATAGGATAGCGGCCATGCGTACAATCATACGATATTAAAATTAATGAGAAATAGTGGGGGTCTGTTTGGAGATTAGACAGATCCTTCGTTCCTTTTCATACATTCTTTTATATTATTTTCATTTTTCTTTTTCTCATTGTGTTTTTTTTGTGCGCATGTAGCTTTAATTTTATGCCTGATTTGTTAAACTAAAAAAAATTGGATATTTTAAAGTGTTTTAAATTCGTGAATGCTTAATATTGACCTAATCTCAAATCCGACGTACAGCAACAGAAGAAAGAGCAGTCTAAATATTATTCTGACCTATTAGAGAAGAGACGGACAGACGCTGAGAAAGACCAGGAAAAGTTAGTGTTGCCAAACGGCCTTTCACTAGTTCTCCTATTACATTTTTTCATTGTGAATTTTATTACTAATTATTTTGTAAAATCTCATTAAAAGAAAATTAAAATTTGCATAACTCTGCCTTCCTGATTAGGACAAGATTGAAGAAGGTAGCCACTAAGGAAGCCAAACAGAAATGGGACGATCGCCATTGGTCAGAAAAGGCCTTGGAAGAAATGACAGAACGTGATTGGAGGATATTTAAAGAGGATTACAATATTCAGACGAAAGGTGGGAAAATTCCGAATCCACTTAGAAATTGGAAGGAGGCTAATTTATCCACAGAGTTATCTGATATCATTGAGAAAATTGGTTACAAGGTTGGTTGGTTGATTGATTGACAGGTTGATTGATTGACTGGTTTGATTGATTGATCGCAAACTGTAAATAAATTTCATTAATGTTACAAAATATTCTTGACAAAAACAAATTGCACACATTACAGTTATTGCATTTACATTACATTATAAAGTTTTACGTTTTAAATTTTCATTACAGGATCCAACTCCCATTCAAAGACAAGCTATTCCGATTGGTCTCCAGAATCGTGACATCATCGGCGTGGCCGAAACCGGAAGTGGTAAGACGGCCGCATTCCTTATCCCACTGCTAGTCTGGATTCTAACTCTGCCTAAAATTGAAAGGTGATTATTATGAAACGAGTGATAATGTTATGTTTTATAATGATTACAATGATGGTTTTTTATTATATTCATTAGGAATTTTCACTACAAACTCATTTTCACTACTAATTCACTTCCACTACAAACATCACCAGATTCGAGGACGTGGATTTGGGCCCGTACTCCATCATTTTGGCCCCTACTCGAGAGTTGGCCCAGCAGATTGAAGAGGAGGCCGTCAAATTCGGTGGCCCCCTAGGAATAAGGACAGTCGCCATCATTGGAGGTATCTCGAGAGAGGAGCAGGGTTTCAAATTGAGACAGGGCTGTGAGGTTGTTTCTTTTTTCTTTGTTTTTTTTTGGTTTTTGTTTTGTTTGAGTTTGTTTTATAGTTTTGATTAACTGTTTCAATGACATATTTATCTTGCACACGTACGCAGATCGTCATAGCCACACCGGGAAGATTGGTGGATGTGTTGGATAACAAGTACCTGGTACTGCAGAGGTGTACTTACGTGGTACTTGATGAGGTATGTTGGTTATTCGTTACTATTAGTAATATTTATAGTAGCTCTAGTAATAATAGTGTAAGCAGTAGTATTTGTAACGGTAGCTGTATTCTTTCTATTGTGAGAATTAATTTAATGGCCTATAATTGTGTAATTGTTATGTTTTTGTATTCCTAATTCGCTACATCTTATCTGAATTGAAATCAAATACCAGGCTGACAAAATGATCAACATGGGCTTCGAGCCAGACGTACAGAACATACTCAAGTATCTTCCTGTATCCAATCAGAAGCCTGATAACGAGGATGCAGAGGATGAGGAAAAGTTAAAAGCGAACTTCAACACCAAAAATAAGTTTAGACAGGTTGGTTGGTTTGAATTTTTTTTTTCTGAGAGTTATTTTTTCAAGTTAATTTTTTAAATGAAATAAAAAAAATAAGGATCTAGGAGATTGCTAAACTTTATGCTATATCAGCTGACACTTTTTTATAAATCCCACAGACCGTCATGTTCACAGCCACCATGCCAACAGCAGTTGAAAGGTTGGCACGAAGCTACCTAAGGAGGCCTGCCGTTGTCTACATCGGCTCCATTGGCAAACCAATCGAAAGTGTAGAACAGATTGTATACATGCTCTCTGAACAGGAGAAGAGGTGCGTTTGTGTTACAGTGGCTGTTTATTTGTATAGCGCTTTACCTACATCAGGGGTACTTTCTTTACGTTACCGTTGTTGAGATGAATGTGGTGGTGTCTTGTTTGTATTCCAACTAACTTTCTACTTCTCAAATTTGTCCACTAGTTAATTAAAATTTTAATTTAATTATGTTTACAGAAAGAAGTTGTTGGCCATCTTGAATGAGGGCATCGAACCACCAATCATCATCTTCGTTAACCAGAAGAAAGGAGCTGATGTCCTGGCTAAGTCTCTTGAGAAGATGGGGGTGAGGCTGTTGTTTTATTCATTCATTTTTTTTATCTTCAATTCATTTCATTTTATTATTTACTAATTGTTATTTGTTCATTTTATTCACTCTGAAGTATTTCAAAATCATTTTATCCGTACTTAAACATCCTCCACTTATTTTGATCAATCTAGAATTGACCTCAGTTCATTCACCTTGATAACCTCAATCACTACTCCTCAATTTTATTGCCGTAAAAAACTTGCACAATCTCATTCTCAGTCACACATCACAGCAGCTACTATAAAACAAATTAAATTTTTCGAAACTACCATTACCAAATAAACATTTCTCCCCCTCCAGTTCAGTGCTACGACCCTTCATGGTGGCAAGGGGCAAGAGCAGAGAGAATTCGCCCTGGCAAGTTTGAAATCAGGCGGCAAACACATCCTCGTGGCTACAGATGTCGCCGGACGTGGTATCGACATCAAGGACGTTTCTCTCGTCATCAATTACGACATGGCTAAAAATATCGAAGGTTTCTATAGTGTTTGTTTTCTGTGTCGAATTTTTTTCTGTCCTGTTTTTAGAAAAATTAAAATTGTGCTCTCAGTTAACGTTAGTGTCATGATAGAAGTAACACTAGCAAATAATAATAATCATTAATTACAATATAACTAATTATAACCTCAATAACCCATTCCACAGATTACACCCATCGTATCGGTCGTACTGGCAGAGCAGGAAAACACGGAGTAGCCATATCATTCGTAACAAAAGACGATAGTTTGATATTTTACGATTTAAAGCAAGTCCTAATGGAGAGCACTAATTCCTCGTGTCCACCGGAACTTGCCAACCATCCGGACGCCCAGCATAAACCAGGAACAGTGGTGCAAAAGAAGAGAAAGGATGAGATTCTCTTTAACGTGTGATTGTCGTCATTAGGCTTATTATTTGTTGTGTTATTATTTTTATGGTTTTTTTGTGGATATAATAATTTTTTCTATTGTAATCGTTCTAATTATAGGAAGAGGAACTGTTTACATTAAATTTTGTTGACGATAACCACGCACTGATGCTTATTCAAAACTTTCACGCACATACATACAAAAAAATTTACAGCATTTTTTTTAGAGACAATTGAATGAATAAATGTTTAAAAAATGTGCTTCGGTCTAGTGTATTTTTTAAAATAAAATTACATTTATTAAGACTTTTTCAAACCCATGTGTTAGTTGGACAAATCATACTAATATTTTGTCTGAGTGTTTGCCAACAAATTAACGCTATACTGAAAATAAATGCTATATGGGGAAGTATTTAATAAGATAACTACTGAAATTTATTTCGGTAAATATAATAATACTCCCAATCATAATTATAGATAATAATAAATTATAGTATCGATATTATAGTATAGGTATTATCGTCGTTTCGATATCGTCATTTCGATACTATCGCCACTATCATCATGGTTAGCTATCATCTTGGTGGCTTACCTTCATTCTCTTCTCCTTCTTCATCCTCCTCTTCTCGCTTTTTTTCTTCGTCTAATTCCATTCTCGATTTGAAAATAGCTGCAAAAGATTAACATAGACGATGCATTAAATGATATTGTACTATGTGTGTATTACCGTACTTTTGCATGTGAGTGTATATATATGTACATAAAGCAAGTGTAAAATTAAAGTAAAGTCCCTTCTCCCGTTATATACAGATATAACTTTCTTTCTTTAGCAGTAAAAACCGCTAAACAGATGTAACTCAAAATTGGTGTTAAATAAACCATACATCATACATCCGCGAATCCTCAGCCAACCACTTGCATACCATTTTCTTCCAACATGGTCAGCACATTTTCAGCTAAATCCGGCTGATCGCAGGCGGTGAGAGCCCTGGCGAGTTCCCTGCCCTTGACCTTATCGTCGATGGTCAGTCTCAAGTTCGTCCAGTACATCAACATGTTGGTGCACCAGACGTATTTGTCAATGTAAGATGACATAGCGGCCTGGGTCATGTAGACTATGGTCGTCGTTGGCACGTTCAAGTACCTGTTCAAATCATTTATTTATTAATCAAAAATAATAATTATGAATCATAATTATTGAAAATAAATAGCGAATAGTTAGGATAACGATGACAAAAGTAATTAATAACATCTTGTATCACGTCTTAAGTCTGATCCGCGAGAGCGAACTATTTTATTGTTATAACTATTCAACGTTGATATTCCGCAAAAAATGAATAAATAGTCAAAATAGATGAATAAAAAATAAATATACCGACATGACGAGCATGAGAGCAGTATCGACACCAATTTGATCGACCAGGTTCGACATGCTGGTTTCTGTAAACAGGAGAGTTTTCCGTTTCAATTCTGTTTCTTCTTCCTCGTCCTCCTCCTCATCTTCTTCCTCGTCCAAATCGAGGTCTAGGGAGCTAGGATTCAGATCTGCTTTTAAAAGTTTGCGATTTAGTATTTACGGTATCTAAGTGTTAGGATTAAATCAGTATTAAAAACTATTTAAAAAAATGAAATGCCGATACGAATTGATTCTAATTGCATATACATATTCAGGTCAATAGCTATAATTTTTTAGAAAAAATTGTCAAAAATTGAAAACGTTTGAAATCTAACCGTCAGTAGCCATAAGTTAACCAAATCAAATATAGCCTTATCTTCTCAGCTAAAATACACAGATTAAATAAATCCTATGGAAATATCCAAACTTAAAAAACGAAATTCAATGTAATTTTATTCTCAAATATAATACATTCAACTGAATATACATTAATTTACAATCGATAATTTAAATTTCCATTAATTTATTCACAAACAGACACAAAGTAAATCTAATTTCGCAAACGAGTCGACGACGAAAAAACAAGCCAAAATCGTAAGGATTTTTTTCGAATTCTTACTAGAATGACGTAAAAACGTATAACGGCACGTCATATACATACACAGACACACACACACACACACAATGTAATACAGAACAATAGTCACATAACTTAAGAAAAATCATAATTATCAGTAGACCGACCAGTGGAATCATCCTTTGTAGATAATATTGTTGAATGTATTAATAGACTTATATATAATGTATAATATATATATATATATATAACATATGTACACGTACACACACAGGCATGTGTGAGTATATGTACTGTAAAAACAAAGTTTAAGAAAAAAATGACTTCATTCATTAATCATTCTTAAAAAATGACATCATTCATTAATCAGCGGTAAACTACAACGGTAACAACATTGATGCTTTCATACGAAAACCAAAACTAACCATAGGATTTCACATGCATCCACGTCGGTCTGATCAGTGTTGTTAATTTCTTGGCAAAAAATATACAAACACAGTATAAAAAAATGTGAAAAAGCAGTATTTTCATTACTTATTAATTAATAACACATGTGTAGAATACAAAATATATACAAATTGTAAAAAAAAATGGCTTCTTTAGAGTTTTTTAAGATGTTGAAAAATTTAAAGGAAGACTTGAAAATATAAATGTTGTATAAATATATGATTTATTATGTTTGTCATCGTTATTAATGCTGCTATAAATCGTCATCTCCATAATGGACTTAATTGAGAATAAAAGTTTCAACAAATTTAATTCTTATTCACAATCTGCATCATAGTTTTTTTAAACATCTTAGCAATAATAATAGAAGATCATGACACACAAACACCATAGCACAGTAATATTATAGTAATATTACATATTTTTTCTTACATTCCATTAAATAACCAATCTTAAATACAATAACCACTTATTAATCAAGCTTTCATAACTCTACACATCCCTTCATTCACCCATCCCTGAATGGAGCCAAATTGCACCCTCTCCCCGTCTACTGTCATGATTCCGGAAGTAATGTCATCGGAAGGCTCGATACGGAAGGCCTTGACCTTGTAAATGTTGCAGTAGGGGTCAGATATTGTTTCAAGGGTACCGTCTTCCATGGAGTTGAAGTAGTGCAACATTTTTGCTCTAAAGAAGTGTATATAAAAATGTACTTGTATGTGTATGTGTGTGGATATATGCCTAACTAACATGACTTATAATAATGATGAATGTGTAGCACATTCATAAACTATGAGAGAAGTTAGAAAAAAAATCCTACCTTGAAACATTACCCTTAATAACATTCAAATAGATGCATCCATCTTGTAATTTCGAACTAGGAATACATTTCATATCTTGGGCCAAATGGGTTTGATACATGGCGACAACTGACACAAAATCATTGGCCGATATCTTTGTCCAGTTATCAGGAACCGGAGTAGTTAGTGAATTAGGCGCATAGGCCGGTCTATGCGAATCAAAAGTTTTCCCATTTTGGTCTGCGCTTGTATTTAAATGGGACAAATTATCATTAATATCGGATTGACCAATGAATTTAGTTTTGATGGACGTTTCCTCGATTGGCTCAGAAAATTTTGTTATAAATTGGCATTCCATATCAAGGCATTCTTGGTTTTGTGATTCTATGGTCATTTTATGATTAGTTTGGTCAGTGGTTGGGATATTAGGTGGGCTGTTTGATGATTGTGACGACGGTGGTTTAGTGGATGTGTCATCATCATTTGAGCATGGAAGGAATGATAAAGTACCTTTGTATTTTCTTAAATCTGTTTTAAATAAATGTTAAAATGGATATATAAAATATAAAAAGAATAAAACTAAAAACTGTCTATCACATTAAAAACAACTTGATATAATAGCAATACTTCAGGAACAGATGCAGTAACAAATATAACAGCATTAACAACGTTTACCTAAAAACTTGAAAACAAAATAACAACCAAAAGTAAATAGACACAAATAACATGAACTAGAATAGAACTGGAATAAAACATCAACAAAAGCAATGACACTAACTGACAATTCTCTTAATAGCACCGACAGTAAACCTAGCCTTCCCTAAATACCGATACATTTCACTTTCGATGTCGACATCGGCCACTATACCCCAGGCCACAGATAAAATAGAGTAGAGTGTTTTATTAGAACTTGTTTCAACTGTAACTAAGTCCATAGGTTCAGTTCGATTCTTTATGACAAACAACGTCGAAGTTAGCACGATGTTGTGTAGATAGGATTCACTGTTAGATTCAAAAAAGTACTATAAAATATAAATTGAATGAAAAAAAGATTTATAAAAAACAACAACATAAACTAATACAAAAACATATCCATAAACATTAAATTAACCTACTATAACATACCCTGCTTGATAAAGAACAGAACAAATAAGGGCATTTCCAGACCCACCAGGGATGACTCCAATAGGCACCTTGATGGCCACAAACTTATCTTCTCTCTCCATCAAACCGTTGATGACTTCAAACACTAAACCATCTCCTGATACAACTACTATGCCCCTTATTTCAGAGAGGTTCAAGTTTTTTATCAAATCTTTCGCATGGCCTGCATATTCTGTTTGGGAGAGAAAATTTTTCATGAAGTATTTGTTGATTAGGTTAAGAAATATATGACTAGATAGTTGAAGTCGGGTTATAATGACAGTTAGAATGTTAAGTGAAGTTTACACAACACACAATAGAGTAGAACAATAATTAACAAATAATAACCAACCATAGTAGCATAAATATAAGTTATTGCTAACTAAACAATCTGCAAAAACTTACCTGTTTCAATAGTTTGGTACCTCACATCTGCTTCTTTCAGTATAGGAACAACCTTCTTTTTGTACACCTGCATCGCTTTTCCTGCCCCACCAAAAGGATTCACCAATATTATCAACTTTTTCTTTTCAGCTGATTAAAAAAGAATCAAATGTTATTTTTTAACATTTTCCACAAACGTTTCCACCAAATTTAGTTTTGTACACAATTATATGTCAATGGCAACATTAAACTTTAATGATTAAAGTAATTCAATTACTTTGCTGTGTTGATCTACTGAGAATGAAATCATTACACACATTAATCCAATCTTTAACCTCTTCAAAGTTTTCAACAAAAGTGGGCTTTTCATGGAAATAAAAAAGATATTCTTTTCTCTTTCTAATTTCGTTTTTACACATTGGCTTCTTACATTTTGGATAGGTGAACAATTTTAAAAAACAGCCCTGATTATCGTTGCTTGATGCTTTACTTAGATCCATACCAATTACATCTTCTAATCTCAAAACACCAGATGATTTTACGGTCTTACAGGCACAAATGAAATCACAATTACTAGATTTTGATCTAATGACGGAAACATCTGAGTTACAATTTTCATTGAGCATTTGGGTGCTTGAAGAATTATTATTTTGTTGGTTACTAGTTCTTTGTAGAGCTGCATTCATTGGAAATTTCAATTTTTGCCATCTAATGCATTCATTTGTCATGATCAGGTGCAATTTTTCTTTTTTCGAACTTGAGCATACACAGGAATGTTTGATGATTGTTTCATCATCTGATGTTAGTCTACTTCTTGATGGAGAGCTGTTATATGAAGACATCGTCTCGAGTTTGGGTGCTGTTAAGAAGTCAATGAAGAATGATGAAAAATTTCAAGTCACCTTTAAAAAAAATATATTTTTTAATTTTATTTAATTTTAATTGCTTTGAATGTTAAATGTACAGATTAAAAAAGTAAAACTTAATACCACACTAAATAACAATGTCTTACTAAATTATAAATTAGTAATAACTGTCTAAAAAATAAAAAAAATTATTATATTTAAATATATATATAATATAAAATAAATAAATAATCAACTGACACTCACACTTTTTAAAGAAGATCTCTGCTATGTGAAATAAATATATTTCAAGCTCTGAGGTAGAAACATCCAAACATTAACAAAGCGGACGTTTTTATGTTAAATGAAGCCACACAATGAATTAATTATTAAGTCAACAAAAAAACGAAAAACCTATTCTCATTTATAATATTTTTATTAATTCCTTACCTTACCTGAAATCATTAAATTTATTTCGTATTCTTCTACCTACATTATTAAAATTTGTTCGCTTGCTTAGGATAGAACCTATTCTCAGTCATTATCTCAATAATAATTTCGTAGTTTCAGTGAAGAGAAAACAAACTTGAAAAAATTTCACAAACGAATAAAAATAAAGGTATTGTTATTAGCAACCATTTATCATCAAGTATAGTCATGTATGGTAAACTACATACAACAACTACTTTAAGCATTATCTATCAATCTAGGTTAATAACTAGTTATACAGTTTTCAAGAAAATAAATTTTTCAACAGAATATTATTAAAATAACAATCATTTACTTAACTATTGTCATCCGTTATAAATTGCGCCACTTATTTTTGCTTACAGGTATATTCAATAGATACATTTAAACAAGCATATCATGTGTATGTATTAATTATATAATACAGTACATAAAAACAATACACACACGGCAAGATGCATGTGATCATTGTTTCATAATGTCACATCTCACATGATTTTTAATGAACGTTATAACAGGATCCAATACAACCCAATATAGCGAAGAACATTTTGCATATGTACTTAGAATACAAAACTACATTTAAACAAAATATATATGTTTATAATAGTATGTGCGCAGTTATAACAGTTATGACAAGTGCAACGATAAACTTATAACCGTGTAAAATGTACATGTACAACTGTAACTTCAGATAATTAAGGAACTGATGAACTTTGATATGTTAGTGCAGACCATAATGATGTTTTCAATTTGTATTATGTTCGCACATTTTTCATAAGTTGCAAGTGTCTCTTTTACCTCAAAGCTTGAAATTGAGTGAATTACTATAATTAGCTCAGTTATTATTACCATAATACAAAATAAGCTTGAAAATGTTTTCTAACCGGTTGAACAATATATGTTTAAGTAAAACATCAGATGTTAAAAGAAATTATGCAAGAGAATAAAGAATCTAAATGTAAGTATAATTCTCTAGATGTCAGAAAAAACAGAAATAATATCATCATTCACTAGTCATTTCTGTTGACGCAACCAGTTCTTTACTTTATTAAAACTTTCATAATGCAAATATCTGTTCCACGTGCAAACTTCCTCACCACTAAAACGGTTGTCATAATTTCCAGGAGTTATTCTAAATGTGTCGAAAAAAGGTTTGTTCAGATCTTCAAGGGCTTCTTCAGTAAGTATTCCAAGTTTTGTAGTTGTTTTAAGGTTGTGAGATTTTGCGCAAACACCAGTGTTTGGTCGTTTTTTCGACACCACTATTGCCAGGTTTGAGTTTCTTGTCATCGGAGCAGAAACAGATCGTTGAAATTTTGAACCTTTCTCGAACACAGTTTGTTTGTTAGAGTTCACAAACGCACTAACATTTCTTCTGTATTTTTCCAGCACTTGTCGCCGGTTGAACCGATCTACTTCTTGTTTGTAAAACGACGACATTACCAAGGGTGGAACTGCCGATATTTTTGACTTTTTAGATTTCACGTCGTGTCTAGGTTCATATTTTTTACATTCGTATTCATCAATCGAACTTTTTCTGGAATCTGTCGTTATATTTTTAAGTTCTCCAATCTCGTCAAACTTCTGCTGATTGTCAACTATTAAAATTTCTGCCTCTTGTTTCTTTTCTAGAATTTCAAACGCCATTGTGGCTTCTCTTGAGGCTCCGAAGAATGTCATCGAGTTTTTAGGCTTAACGGGTAACATGGAACCCGGCACTTCAATTTTCTTAACTTCTTGTTCAGTTTTGCAGTTAGGAAAGAAAGAGAAATTACTCTTTTCAACGCACAGATCTGAGTCTGGTGTAATGTCAGGTGATGTTGTTGCATGAGCACTCTCTTTACTTTTTAACAACCGATTACCTCCTTTTAATATTAAGTCTTTACGTTTTTTGTCATACATCTTCATTAATAAGAAGCTGTTAAGGCAGTATTGTCCTTTATAAACGGATTTGTACTTTACAAGCGCTTCTAAATTATCCATACGGGAAGTTTACTGACATCAAAGAAACTTTGTGAAAAAGTTAATTAAAAATCGTACTTAAAAAATGCGTATATATCGTTAAAACATAAAAGAGAGAAAAAACAAACCTTTCAAATCAACGTCTGGCATTGGGCACTCTAACGCAAAACAATATGGATAAGCGATCAATGTATCATAAAATATGCATGGGAAACATGGCATTTTTATCACGTAATCATATGACTATATGCAACCATTTTAGATAAGAAGCTGGATGAACAGACCGTATGCATACTCATTTCCTACTTGCACATACAATTGTAATTCAAAACCGATATATACGCGTGGATAATGATAAATTCTAACGCGTTATCGACTATACTCAAAAAAACCAACTGGCATATACTATATATACACCATACATACATTAAACCATGCGCACACAAACGTATAAATATATATGTATATATATAAATAAGTCCTTGCAACGAATATACACATATATATTTTATTTCCATATGAACAATTAAATGTTATAAGAATATAAACAATTGAAATTAATTTTATTGCATTGCCAAATAATCAAATGAAACATAAACGAGGTTTTAAACTATATATGCGACTGAAAATGGAATTAAAATTAATACAACTCAGAACAGGTCTAACACTGTGAACAAATGCGACACACTAGCCTGGCTTGATTTGGTTGAGTTGGATCTATTAGAACTTTCCAGCTGAATTTATGACAATAACAATGAATAACAATAAGTGACAGCTAACAACAATACATAAACATAATTTAATTTACAAAGAAATTTGTTTAATTTAATTCAATAAGTAAAAAACTTTGAAGATTTGTAACCTGTTCTTCATCAACATACTCAATACTTGACTTTTTATTCATCTGTGTTTTATCCGTCACAGACCTTCAAAATAGATGATCAAGAATAAATGATGTATACAAGAATTTTTTTAAATGCAAAATAGAAACCTTGTTACTTTATTCTGAACACGATTTCTATCAGAGCTAGGTTCCCAGTTCTCCTTGTCAGAATCCAACAATTCCAGATGATCAGAATCACTTTCACTGGTACTGCTACTATTACTACCGCCATCAAACTTTCTGGCACGACAAATTCTTTTTGATCTCCTAACCATTTCGTTTCTTTTCGGTTTATATTCGTGAGACCTACCTGTTTTAATTTTCTTTAAAAGTGATTTTTTCTTAGTTTTTGACTTTTTTCCCTCTTCACGAAATTTCACACAACTTTCGTTTAAATTAGGCTCATTAGAATCATTCCACCTCATTCTTTCTACAGTTGGCGGAACGTCGTCACAATGATTTACACTATTATTCAGAACATTAATTTTAGAACTTATATTCTTAAGAGGCATACTGTTGTATGAATTGTTACTAAAAGCATTAATATTATTATTAACAACATATTCTTCTCCAAAAATAGGAGTCCTGTTAACAGCTTGAGCTTCATGTACGCATGATGCTTGGAAAGAACCTTTGAATCTTTTTCCATTAGGTTCATCCCTAGAAGCATTTTGGTCCCAGTAAGTAACTGTTTCTCTAGTCTTCTGATATGAACATCTATTAGTTAGATTAGGATAAGCAGCAAAAGCACTGCTATTAATTGCAACGCTCGAATTGACATTAGAACTCACATCTTCTACTATTTGAGATTGGGATAATACAACTGTGATTTGATTTGATTGGGGAGAGTTATAAATTGGGTGAACTTCAGAATTCATTGTGGTTATATTGCTGCAGGAAGGTAAATTTTGTTTAGACAGATCTAGCGCCATACCATCACTACTCAATTTAGAATGGGGACGAATCACTGGGGAAATGTATGATGGAGTAAGAGGTCTGATTGTTACTGCACTATTACTGATGTTACTTTTTAAATGATTATTATAAGAGGAAGGATAATAACGACAACAACTAATATGTTCATCGTTGTGATTGTCATCAACATAATTATTATTATTAACATTAGTAGTATAATTTACATAATTGTTATTGTGATTCTTAGATCTGTTTGTAGTTTCAGTAGACAGGCTAACTTGAACTTCCTTACTTGCAAAGGTTGAAACAGATTTTTTCTGCAGCTTGTAAAATAGTGAAGTTTTTTTAAGAAAACATTAAACAACGTAATTAGAATGTATTTGTTAGTTAGATTAAGGGTTAGATTGTACATATAAAAAGCTGAAAAAACTTTTAAAACTAGGAACCTGTGAAGATGAAAAACTTCTAATTATTTTTTCCACTGCATCAGCCAAGTTGCTTGAAAAATTATCATTGTTTCTGAGGAATTAAAAAAAATAATTAGATAATAATCAATGAAGTAAAAATTTTCAATTAGTTTTTATTTCGAAAAGAAAAAAAACATAACTAACTTTTGAATGAAAACTCTGAGAAGATCAGTCAGTTCTTTGGCATATTGACTCAGTGAGGTATCAACTTCTGTTTTATGCTGATTCAGTAACTGCCACACCTCACTCTTTACACTCTCAACAGATTTTGATAACTTTTCAAGACACTTTGCATTATTTTCAGAGCCTTTCTTGATCTCAGTAAACTATGAAATAAAAAATATAGATAATAAAAAGTAGACATATAAACATATGCAGATCTAGGCATTTTATCTATGAATACTGAGGGAATGGCCTACTTCTACAGTCATACTTTCAATAGCAGATTTGGTATTTGAGAAATGTGATTCTTTGAGAACATTCTTAACTTCCTTCAATTCATTATTCAAAGTTTCTTTTACTAAAAATTCAGCAAAACATTTTTAAAAGTTAAACAACTTTTATTCTTGAATAACAAATAAAAAACAAAAAGCACAAGTGAACTTGCTTATTTCAGGAAGCTTGTTTGTAAATACTTCCAAATTATTATTTATATTAGAAGTAAAATCTTTCAGTGTTGACTCAACTTTCTTCATTTCACTAGAAAACGTTTTCAATGTTGAGATCACACAATCAACTGTATCTCTGTAACAGAAAAATAGACTTTTTCAGTAAATTGTAAAAGATTTTTCCAAAGTAAAATTAATAACCTTTCTTCTAATTCATGAACCTTGGCAATGCACTCGGAGATTTGTGGCAGTCCCATTGCCATTGGTGGTGGCCTGCTATTAATGTTTGCATAATTTTGGCCTGAAATTGGAAAGACACGATTTGGGCCCACTGGTGGCAGTGGCTTCTTTATAATCTTTTGAGGGGACTAAGTAATTTAATTAAATATATATTTTTTAAAAATCATTTATTTTATATTAAAAAAAATTCGACTTCTGCAATGAAATGTTACAAACTTGTGAATAGCCATATTGCGTCTTTTGAGAATCAAACTGTTCTATCTGCGAGTGTTGGTATTGAGATTGAGAGGAATACTGACTTGCGCTATCAATGCACGAATCGCTTGAGTATTTCTTGAATCGATTTTCGTAGGAAAGACTTTGAAAAAAACGTTTGCTCATTACAATTTTTCGTATTAAATAAAATAAACCTTTTTATTAACTTCATGTTAGAGGCAGAAAACAGATCTCCATAAGAAATATGATTCATTCTTTTATTCATCTTCAATTTTTAAATTTGAAGAGAACTCGTCCGGAAAACTCGCGGTTGAATCAAAAACCCTCAACTATCAATTTAAAAGTAAAATCCACCTACGGAATATTAGTTAGCAAACACTCAAACTTGAAATGAAAAGAATTAACGTTAATTATTTCGGGTTTCCATCATAGTATTATACATTTTCATGCTCAGTGATTGAGTTCTATTTAAATCTATTATAAAACGTTCGCTAGGTTTATATAGGGTATTTTGATGCTATTAGTTAGATAATGGGTGGATGGGCGAAACCAAAACTGCTACAAATAAACAAAGCAAAAGTAGACTTAGCGTTTTTTTTACTTATAAATTTATAAATTATTATTTAGGACTTTGAAAAATGTCTAGTTTTAATTATAACAATTTTGTGCCTTACAAAGGCCAAAATTACATTAAATTACGAGCTGCCGTTCTTCAAACTGGGATGAAGTTTAGAGATCCGGAGTTTCCCCCAACGGATGCTTCCTTGTTCTCGTCTTCTAGAAAAAATGCCGGAATCGTATGGAGAAGGGCGCAAGTAATTTTGTAGAATAACTTTGAAACTTTTCTATTTTTAAGACTAGGAGTTTACATGTACACTGTACATTTTCATTTTTACATTTGAAAAAAATTAATATCTAATTAAATTATTAATAGACAGTTAATGTTCAAGTATTAAGTTAGTACTCTAGTACTACTACGCTGTATAATATAATTAATATGATTATAAATGAATAAAATGTGTACATAATTAAATAAAATACAAAAATACATACTGGCACACTTTATTAATATGAATAATAAAGTTTTGATATTTTATAATTATATTATAATTATATACACCTAAATTTCATATACACTTAAATTTCAATTAAATTAACTTTTTTACACAGTAAAACTTTAAAAATTATTTAATATTTTGTAAGGAAATAAACTCAGAAGCACGTCTGTTTGTAGATGGGATAAGTAGTAGAGACATAATACAGGGTGATCTTGGTAACTGCTGGCTTGTTGCTGCTTTCTGTGCATTAGCAGTACATAGAAACAACTGGTCCAAAGTTAGAATGATGTCATGCATTCACTTTTTTAATTTTTGTTTTTTTTTATATACAATTTGTTTATTAAATTTTATTATTTTATAATTTTTTATGCTCAATATCGTTTCTAACTAAACATCTCGTCCTATTAACTTTAATTAGTTTCCTGTTTTATTTATGTAAAATTTTCTATTTGCACATACAAAAATAACAAATCAGGTGATTCCAGATTACAGAGAACAAGATTTTGACAACAATCAAACTGGAGTCTTCCATTTTAGGTTTTGGAGGTTTGGTTATTGGACAGATGTCGTCATTGATGATTTTCTACCCACTAGAAAAGGCCAACTTTTGTTCTGCCATGCCCCTTCTAAAAATGAGTTCTGGCCTGCTTTAGTTGAGAAAGCCTATGCCAAGTCAATTTTTTGTTGTTTCAATTTTTTTCAATGCTTTTTTTTAATATTTTGATTTTCACATTCACCTCACATGACAAATACATCCATCATCATGAATGATTCATTACTTCATCATCAACATCTTTTCACCATCGTCATTATCATCACCACAACCTTCATCATCAAGACTTTATGGATCCTACGAAGCATTGAATGGGGGCGAGCTGGCAGAGGCCCTGGAAGATTTCACCGGGGGCGTGACTGAAAGTTTTGACATCAACGAAGAACATTTGAGGACTAGTTTTGAGAGGAAAGCACAGTTCTATGAGTTTCTCAATAGTCTCATGAAGAATGATGCTCTCATTTGTGCTGCTGTACCTGTATGTTTGTTTGTTTTTACACATTTTTTCTTTCTTTTTCTGGTTTTTCTTTTCTTCATTTTCTCCCTCTACCTCTCTCACACACAAACTAACACGCACACATAGGCATTGACAGATGCAGAGATGGAGAAACAGACACCTCTTGGTTTAGTAAAGGGCCATGCATACGCTGTTACGGTAATACAAACGGTACACTTGAAAGGGTATAACCTGGGCTATCGTGACCCTCTACCCATGGTCCGGATGAGGAACCCTTGGGGGGGCATTGAGTGGATGGGGGCTTTTAGTGATAGGTTGATAATTTTTGGAATGGGGATTTTGATTTGGATGTCTTTGTTTGTTGTATTTCCATTTTTTTTTAAATTCCTATTCAATGTCTACAATTTTTTTCATCATGAGTTTTTTTTCAAAATTATCAGTCTTATAATAATTATAATTATTGATATTATTATTATTGTTATTATTATTATTATTGCTAATATTTTTTATTACTACTGTCAAGGTCTCCTGAGTGGACGAAAATCAGTGAGGCGGACAAGAGCAATATGGGCCTGGTTTTTGCTGATGATGGAGAATTCTGGTCAGTTTCATCTTCTACATTTGCTCATATAAATACAGCTCCATAATTTTTAATGTATATCTTATTATACTAAATGCTATAAGTTTTTTATTATTCAAAATTCTGATTTAATGCCCGCACGCAATAATCAGGATGACGTTCGATGATTTCATAAAGAACTTTGAGAACATAGCCCTCTGTCACAACATCAACACAGCACCTGTCCTCTCCATGGCTAGTGGCTACTATGAGTACGCTTTCCATTCTGAGTGGGCCACCCCAGATCGGACTGGAGGGTGTATAAATTTTAAGAAGACCTTTCTTAATAATCCTCAGGTGTGCGTGCGTGCGTGTGTGTGTGTATGTGTTTGTGTCTAGAAAAATAATATTTGCAACGGAGATGTGTGTGTTTTTTATTTCTTTCTTTTTTATACCCATATCTTTTTCTCTTCCTCTCTTTTTTCTCTTTCTTCCTCATACTTTATCTGTCTCGTAATTCTTTTTTTGCTCTCACTTTTCTCTCTCTCTCTTTAAAATATCCAAGTTGTATTGATTGAATGCCTAATGGTTGACAGTACGTGTTTGACATCCCAAATGGTGGAGATGAGTTGATGATCCACCTCATCCAGAAGTCAAACAGGAACCCCGGCGATGATCGACTCACCATTGGGTTCACAATCATGCAGGTAGAGCTGGTTGATTGATTGGTCGGCCGATTGGTTGATTGATTGATTGGTTGGTTGGTTGATTGATTAATTGGTTGGTCGATTAATTAATTGATTGATTGGTTGGTCGATTGATTG